TTCTAGGGTTGTAAATATTGCCATTGTAAGTTTAAAATATGCATAAGAATAATTTAGAAATAATATTTACCAATATCTTTCTGTATAAAAGTGCTAGGAATATTATATGCATTATCTCTATAAAATAGCAGTAGTGAGCTAGGGATTTAGCTCAGCAGTTCCGCCTTCTGCCTTGCAAGAGCAAGGACCCGAGTTCGATCCCTGGTATCAAAAAAAAAAAAAAGTAGCAATAGTATTTATAGTTTAAATGTAATTTCCCTATGCAGGAATGGAAGTTAAGATATATATTCATTTTTTGGCCAGGTGTGGTTGCAAATGCCTATAATTCCAACACTGTGGGAGGCTGAGGCAAGAGCATCACAAGTTCAAGCTTATACTGGGCAATTTAGTAACCCCGAGAAACCCTGTCTCAAAATGAGAAACAAAAAAAGGACTCAAGATCCAGATCATATACAGGTCCTGGGTGAATCATTAGCACATCAAAAATATATACAGCATTTATAATTTTACTGCATTCAAAAATGACTCCTTCAGGATGTGAGATTATGTGGTAGAAATACAGACCATAGTCTAGACTACACTTTTTGAAGGATTTCATTGAGTCTGAGTATAAAATAATTTGTTTTTATTATTATGTTTTGTGCAAATGACAATATTAAGAAAATCAAATATTTTATCTGTTTTATAAAGAAAATGAATACTAGCATGCTTTTCATCCATTTGAGAATTTGTCGAGGTCTCAGGTTCTGTTTTATGATGGCTCATATTTTTACTGAGAGAAATCTGAGTCTATTCTGAGAAAACATCTTCTAACGTTAAAAGAATCAAAACACTCTTCTGTAAAATAAACTGCTGTCAATACATACCTAAAAAGGAGCTTGAAGCCTGTCCTCTAAGGTTTAAGCTTATGGAAACTCTACAGACTCACTCTGGAGAACTTGGTTGACTTTTCTTCAGCAACAGGTGTAGATTTCAAGGCATGGATCTAAAAGCTATTTGTGTTTCACCCTTGCTGCTGGCCAAATGTGGGATTTTTCTGATCAGGACCTTCACAGAATTTAAATTAACACATATACATTATTTATGACAAAACTAAGAAGATCTCCTCCTTCTTGGCTGTAAATTATTTTTCTACTCTTTGCAGGAGACAATTTGATAACACAGTTATGCCTCCCTTTTGCCTTCACTAATCTCAGAGCTAGGGTCTCTCAAATTCATATTTAAACTATGGTTTAGTACCTGTTTCACAGCTAAAACAAGATTAATTTCTCTCTTTACTCAGTGACCTGCATGTTCCAGGATCAAATGTTAATTGAGCATCACGATCAACAATTGTGATCTACAAAGAATTCAGCTGGCCCCCTGCCTTTTCAAAAGCCAATTCTATTATGTAACTTTTGCATTGCATCCCCACAAATGTATTTGATAGTCAACAGACAGGTGAAGCAAGCTGAGCAATAATTATGCTGTACAATTGCATAGTCCATGTTTCCTTTCTCTTCCTATATGAATGTGTGCTAATAGATTCAGTATTAATGAACTCCCCCCAAATCTCTGGGGCAATTCATATAAAACAAAGATGGCAAGAATACAATTTAAAAGGCTAAAGAGAGGATTCGCTGTCTCTTGTGGCTAGAAGATAATGCTAAATTTGTGGAAAAGCTCTATTTGGAGGGAGATTCTGTATAGAATCCTTTATTAAATCTGTTCAAATGTCTTTATGTAAAACAATTAGAAAAAATGATACTAGGTTCTTCATAATTGTGTCCTATTCCAGATAAAGCAATAAATCAGTACTTTATAAGTATGCCAAAAGTTTCACTGTGTAAATATTCTCCAAAATAAATACAAAGATACTTACTTACTTTTAACCTATTATATACTGGCTAGAATTTGGGGTACTTGGCACATATGCGTTATTAGAAAAAAGTTTTATTTTAACTCAAATATTAAAGGCGTTTTTGCCTTTACACAATAAATACAATCATTTTAGAAGATTTAGCAATACAGATAAATACAATGAAGGAGTAGAAATCTCCATAATTCCACCTAAGCAGTTATATATTCATTCAACCATACCACCCACACATTTTAGTAATTGGTGGTTGAACAAATGAGATTCATGTGAATTTCATTCCCTCTGTCCTTTTAAACATGGGCTGTCCCATTATTCTTCTGATTATTGGCAGTAGCAAGAGTCATAATCAGTCTGATTCACCAGTCTCATATTATTATCAAAACTCTACCCTTGATTTAAAACTTCATCATCCAGTCCCTCCTCTTGCTGAGACCTGCTGTCGGGAGAGGAGAGTGGTCTGTTTTATTTCCTTCCCCGTGTACCGACTATACCTCTACTTCTCTGGTGTTGCTGGGAGTTTAAACACTAGAGGCTCCATGGGCAGCATTTTTGACTTCATTGTTCTAGCAGAACTTCACATCTCCTGGACTTCACAGATATTAAAAGCTGTCTTTGGGATTCATAGGCACTGTGAGTTTACTGAAGCAGCCATTGCTGTCATTTCCTTGATCTAGAAAGTGTAACTAATTTGGCTGACACTGACTTTGAGATCAACGTCCTCAGTGGAAACCCTGGTGCAGAAGGGAAAGCGAATAACACTGGATCCCTGTCACAGTGGCGTCTGTGGGAATTACATATACATCTTTCTATTCCCAATCCCAACACAGACAGCCCTTTTTGTTCATTTATTAGCCACTTACTGAGTCTGTCTCTTATCTTTGGGTTTCTCTCTGCGTAAGAGATTCCTATACCATGTCCTCTACACAACAGGGGACAAACACTAAGTCCTCTGTGTAAGTCCGTATGAAGTTCACATCAGCAGTTAGGAAGTAGTAGATTTCTCCAGATATTCACACGGGGCTTAACAATATTCTAACCTTTTTTTGGTTATTTCCTTTGACATAGTGATGGTTGGTAGATAATTTTGAAATGTTTCTTCTTTATCTTAAGACTATCAAAAAAAATTCCAAGTTAGCATCTAAAGTATCTACCCTGATTTACACCTATAACAACAACACATACACACACCACACACCAACACACACACTTTAAAGACTCAGGGTCTGAGATGAGACTAACAGGTTGAAATGCTGATGGTTTAATGAGTTCTTTGTCTTTGAGCCATTCACATCTGTTTTCTACCTTAGTTACCCCATCTTTAAATTGAGGATAATAATCTCATTTTATAGAAAAGCGACCACCATAAAAATGAGAAATTAGATTCATTCATAGGAAAATGGATACATATTGAGGATATACTCCTAAGTGAAATAAATAAGTCACACACATGTAAATACTGAATAGTTTCTCTGGTGTGAAAAACTATAATAGCAAATAAGATCCTAATGATATAATTGACAATGTGAAATAGGAAGAAAAGGGCTAAAGGTGTAGGGAAAGTGGGAAGGATAGGGGAAAGCTAATAAGGGAAAAGAAAAAAAAATGACAAAATGAAAAAATGGAAATAAAGTGTTTGTAAATGGGGAGGGGAGGAGGGGGTGAAGGGAGGGCACAGACAAGGGGGAAAAAAAATGAGAACCAAGACCTGTCATGTAAAGGTACAAGATCCCAATAATGAATGTAACTGTGCTGTATACCTAAAATATACCAATAAACTCAATAAAAGGAAAAAAAATCTCTACCCTCAAAACATGATTGTTGTCAACACTGATGTGACAATGTATAAACAGTGCTTATAGCTATGAAAACATAATCATTATTATGCTAATTGTAAATGTTATCTTTTAACTTGTTTCTTAGGATTTTCAGATAATTAAATACTCTTTTAATTATTTCATCGTATACATACAGCATATTTTTCTAATACTGAATGAAATATGTGTAATTTTCTAATATTTTGTCATATTGTTGATCATCACTGTGTTTCCTCAAATACAAATTAATTGAACAGGAATTACTGAGTCAAAATTGTATTACTTCAAAGCATTTAGTATAAGCAAAATGTATGCAAAATAATATGAAAGCAAAAATAATATGATTTTGTATTTTAGCTTTAAAGCTATATTACAATTTTGACCAGTTATCTACTATTAGACACTATCACAATTAGGTATAAGTACATTTTTGAGATATAATGAAATACATGCAAGATGTCTCTTTTTTCCTAATAAAGTATGTCAACATATTTTTGGAAATATTTTTGGACCTGCTATTTTAAAACTAGGTAAGAAAGATACAATTTATCTTCAGAACCTCAGAATTCCAGTGAAATAACTACACTGACCATTCTTTTTAAATCTTTTTTGTTTTTTGTTTATTTGTTTTGTTTTTGTAGCTGGGCTGGAACTTGGGTCCTTGCACTTGCAAGGCAGGTGGTAGAACCAGAGCTAAATCCCTGTCCCTGACCATTCTTTAAAAAAAGAAAGAAAAGAAATGAAGAATGAACATCAGTGTCTACTGAGGTGGTTCATTATCAGATACTTAGATTGAACTGCTTTAATTATGTAAATGCATCTAGTGGATGAGTGTTAATAAACTTCTATTTAAATAAAATAAATCAAAATTCTTGCTTCTCGTTAGCCTATTATATCTTAATTAAATTCTGAGGCACAGTCAGTAGCTTCAATGTTATACAGTTGGCAAAATCAATCACTAAGGGGTATAAATCAGCCAGCTACTTGTCTAGTGTAGGGCACTTGGCAATTAGTTTTAATAATAGAACTTTCACACAGGTCATGAGAAAGCGACATGCAGTTCTCATTTTTAGCATTTCAGACAGATACTATTATGGAGAATATGCTAACTTTACCAAGGTCCCACAGACTCAACAATAACCTGCTTAAGAAATCACACATCTTAAAGAATAGGAACATTACCTTACTTTTCTTAAAGATCTTACTTTAATTTTTGAAAAAAAAATCTATAACACTCATGTTCCCCTGCCTCAGAGTCCATACTCAAAAAGGTACACAAGTCCAAAAAAAACAAACAAAAATATCCGCCCTTACACCATTAGACTAACCTTATAAATTAGTGGTAATTTTCCTAATTTCAGGAGTGCAATGTGATTTGTTATATTTTTCATTTTTTCAATCCTTTTTAAATCATCTGCAGTTCCATAACTCACATCAATGACTTCAGCCTGAAAGAGAGGAAAACACAAAAATGCTGCCTTAGAGGAAGAATTAAAGTCAATTGAGAATTTCATGTGACAAAATTACTTGCAGTAAATGAAATCTTTCACAGATAACTAATACTATTTTTTTACCCTGTCCCAATCATGATAAACGAAACTTCTATTTTTATCAAAGTACAATTCCTCTATTCACTTAGGAAAAAAGCATTGATGCTTTTTACTTTGCCCTTCATCTCCTAAGCAAATCAAAACTTAATATATTCCCCCAATAAACCATAAAGTTTCATTTATTTTATATTCACATTTCTGAAATTTGAAATATTTTATGAATAATTGCAAGATTAATTTTTAAACAATTCAGCCACAATCATATCATTCTCAGGCTTAAAATAAAACCCAATGATTGTTCATTGTTTCAATTTTCAGAGCTGCTCAAATTATTTTCATGGACAGCTGTAAATGAAAACCCCTTCAGTTGTATAAGATATAAGCTGAACAACTAGGCATACAGGTCTGGCATTACGAGACTTGAAAATGAGGTCCTAGATTACCATGTATGTACTAATTTCCACCACCCCTTACTTAGAGTTGTTTTATATTCTACATCAGTATTACTGATTTTGAAAATTCTTTTTTTCTGTTTTTTTTTTTGTTCTGGGGATCAAACTCAGGATCTTCCACTTTCAAGGCAGGCGGCAGTACCACTGAGCTAAAGCCGCAGCCCCAAAATTCTTCTTTGGATAACATAAAAATGTTCATGACTGCCTGGGCATCCTAGCAATAGTCCTCCAGTGTTGTTATCACTTTCCTCCTCCTTGATAAATGCTGAGCTCTAGGTGCTATCAAACACATACTCCTATCAGCTAAGATGACTCCTTTCAACTACACTTTCAGTAATTTCTGCTGTTAATGTAATAGTTTTTGTGCTTTCCAATGATTACAGTGCAGAACACACTGTCTGGCATCATAGTACATGCCCATACACATCCATAAAGGGAATCAGTAGTAGCAAAGGGAGACAGAAATGGAGATGGAGAAGCCAGGCAGCTAACTCTCCATTCTTCTCAATCGGCTTTATACAAAGGGAACATACGGAAGATTCATTTGAAGGAATGATTCTGTTTCTAGAAGAACATGTGAATACCACTGAGAGATCAGCAAACTACCCATGGAGGAAGACATTTCTAGAATGAAATATTTCTTTAGCCATCGTATTCATCTGTATCTGCATAATAGATTAAGACTCACTTCAAATGTTACCTATCTGTTGAACTTGATTTCTGAGCTGTCCAAAACACTTGATACAACTTCCCTTATTGTGAATCTTAAGTCAATTTCCTCCTCTCTTACGGCCCTCATCGGACCTGTCCCTGAATATATATATAGATACTAGTTTCAGTTTCAAAACAGGAAAATTCTTCAATGAGGGGTCCGTTATACATTCAGTCTTAGCTATCTGGCATACACAGTTGGCTTATGGTTCTTTCATTGAAATGCTTATAGCACATGAAATGTCTTTGAAAAGTTAAGCTAAATACTTTCAAGTACATTTTTCCCCCAAAATCTAATTTTTAAACATGCTTCTGTCAGAACAGTTTCTCATTATAATTTTCTTCTTATTAAAATGTGATTAAATCAGTGACTTTAATACAATTTTTGAGTTTGCTGATGCCATTACCATATAAATAACTGTTGATCTATGATGTTAATAGCCTGATTGAATAAATGATCCCATAATATTAATGATTGCTTTGCAAAAATGAAAGAATTCATATTTTTCACTTCAAATTTCTAAGCTACATACTAATTACTTGTGATTCAATGACAGCATCTTCAAATAGAGCTATTACTCAATTGGTTACATTAATGAACATATTTTTCATATTTAAAGAGGTTGAGGAAAAAACTTGCTGTTTTTAGAGGATAAATGCCAGGCTGTGACTTTTCATTTTTGTATATATTGGAAAACTATAGCAATTACAAAATAATAACTCTGCAAAAGCATTTACAATATTGGAAGGTGACAATAGCTTGAGTTAATAATGGCAATTTTATTTAAAGAGCTGTCCAAATCATCTTCTATAAATAGCACAGATTAGAGGATCAAAGTGCTTTAGTATTTAAAGGACTTTCTTTTCTACAAAAATATTTCTCAATATAGGCCTCATTAAATCAATCTAGTTTAGCTTATTCATTTTGAGGATATGCCGTAAAAATTGATAATTACAAAAGTCAATGTTCTGATGGTTTGACAGGCAATAATAAAAATGTATCCACTGCCATAAAACTACACCTCTTAACTAGGTCCTTACTGAAAGTTCTTCCAATTTACCTTCAATCAAACTGAGAATCACAACTGCAACAAAGCACATTGAATTTTCCTGAGGCAGAAATCAATATACAATGATATGATACAATGCCAAACCATTTCTTTCCACATATTTTCATTGCTACAAAAAAAAAAAGATTAAAGAAAAAGCTCCTCTTATTGCATTTTTCTGTCACACTAGAAGATCAGTCACACAATCCATTGGGGTACTGTATTCAGTCTTTGTCCAAATGCTACTGATGAAATCACATATTACCGGTCTCTACTATAGCCAGGAACCTAGGTGTGCCATGAGCTGTCACTTTGTGCACCACATATTTTCTAGTAGAACTTTCTGAGGCACAAGAAAGGGTAACTGAGACAAGAGAGCAAAATGGAACTTAGTTTTTCTTGCTTTCAATTGTTTTCCCTAGACAGCAATATAAAAAGTCTACATATTAATTTTTTTCTCATCAAATTTATTGGTAAATTTTAGGTATACAGTATAGTTACATTCATCATTTGGATCTTGTACCTTTACATGACAGGTCTCGGTTCTCATTTTTCCCCTTGTCCCTGCATTCCCTTCACCCCCTCCTCTCCTCCCCATTTACAAACATTTTACTTCCATTTTTTCATTTTCTCCTATTTTTTTCTTTCCTTTATTACCTTTCCCACTTTTCCTACACCTTTAGCCCTTCTCTTCCTATTTCACATTGACAATTATCTCATTAGGATCTTATGTACTACTATAGTTTTCCACACCAGAGAAACTATTCAGTATTTACACATGTGTGACTTATTTATTTAATCTAGGAGTATATCCTCAATATGTATCTATTTTCCTATGAATGAATCTAGTATCTCACTTTTTATGGCTGAGTAGTATTCCATTTTATACATAAGCCACATCTTCTATATCCAGTCTCCAACTGATTGGCAAATGGGCTCTTTCCAAGTTTTAGCTATTACAAACTGTGCCACTATAAACATAGGTGTGCATATATCACTGTGATATGGAAGGTAACCTGGGCCCTGATACACTGCAGGAAGGAGAGCCATGCCTTCTCCCACCCGGAGTCGCCATTGATCCAGTGCCAGGAAGGTAGCCACATGGATACACCTGAACCGCCATAACTCCCCTTACCCCACACACTCACTCTCAGACCTCCTGATTGTGCCAGTCTTTGGACCCACTCGACAGAGGCAGAGGTTGTCATGAAGGGTATTTTTCTGAGTTCCCAACTTTGAACATCTTTAAAGAAAGGGTGTGGGAAACCTGTAGTAGAACAGTGTGGAGTTCAACCATTCAGAAGGTTGGGGAACTCAATCTGGGCCTTACAGCCCAAGGTCAGTCTGCATCATGGCGTTTGGCCATCAGCTAACTGAGATCAGGGGTCTTGCATCCTCTCTCTGTCTGAGCCATTAAATGGTAAATACACTATATTTCAAAGTTTGCTCACTGAAGACATGTTCTGGGCTGCTTCTTGATTTCAATTTAATTCAAATGGCTTAAGGGTGATAGACTAGTGACTACCACAGGTGGTCATTTTCCAAGTTGTGCTTGATCGTAATGTGTTGCTGATTGTATCAGTTGGGATAAAGCATTGCAGTTGATTTGATGAGCTGTTTTCTCTGATGTTATGAAGATGAGAATGTCTGTGGGTCATTAGAGACCCAGAAACTAGGGCACAACTATATTAGGAAGATTTGGGTGATAACCCAGAGATTAACCAAACGACAGCCCGACAACAAAAATAAAAATGAGAAAACACTTAAGCAAGACACAAAGATAGAGTTCCAGTTCACCAATGGCAAACAGTAGGGTAAATGAGGATGTAAAGGCCAATAGTGAACCACCAGGACACCCTGAACTCAAAGCACAGGAAGTAACAAAACAGATCAATCAGGCTCTAGAAAAATTCAAAACAGAAATAATTTCCCAGATAACCATAGAGATGGTGAGCAAAATGGAAATCGTGATTCAAGACTCTAGAGCAGAAACTGACAAAAAAATAGATGAGCTCAGGACCACGATAGAAGCCATGAAGGCCCAGCATAAGAAAGAAATGGAAAAAAATAAACACCCAACCATGAAAAGAGGTCTCTTTAAAAAAGTAGGGGATCATGAGAAATTGATCCAACAACTCCTAGATGATGCAAAGAAGAATAACATAAGACTGATAGGAATCCCCGAAGTAGCAGGAGAAAATACAAATGACTTAAAAAAGCTGTTTGCAGAATTAATGACAGAAAACTTCCCAAACAGAGGGGAAGATTTTGATGTTCAGATAAGTGAGGCATATAAGACTCCAACTAGCCACAATAAAAAAAAATCTACACCTAGACACATAATAATCAAGATCCCAGAAACCCAACAGAAGAACAAACTACTACAAGCAGTAAGAGAAAAGAAACAAATCACATGCAAAGGAAAGCCCATCAGAATCAAATCAGACTTTTCAACACAAACCCTTAGGGCAAGGAGAGCCTGAAGGAGATATTTCAAGTACTTAAAGAGAACAACCTCCAACCTAGACTGATGTATCCTGCAAAACTCTCTTTCAAAATGGGTGGGGAAATGAGATACTTCCACAACAAAGAAAACCTGAGAAACTACATGAATACCAAACCAGCACTACAAGCAATTCTAAACAAGATCCTAGAAAAAGACAATGAAGGCAGCAACACCATGAAG